AAAAAAGAAGAAAAAAAAAAGAAAAAAAAAATGAAAAAAATATTATAGGCATCAAAATATCACATCGCCAAATTGTATATCAGTGATCTAGTTATTTATCACTGGTCAATGGCATAATAATAATTTTGATTCCAAATTTGAGTATTTCAGTAAGATTTTCCTGAGGTGAATGAATAGTAATATTAATTGAGTTAAGAGAAGGAAAGTTACTAGACTGATATTGATTTGGATCAGTATATTGCGGATTGGGTTTGTAATTAATATTATTAGAACGATTGTCATTAGAGATAAACTGTTGATTATCATAATTAGGAGTTGGATCGTTATGGGGAAAAATCGTATTATGATCGCTCGACTTACAGTTATCGGAGGAAAAATCAACGTTATCGAATGATGTATCACTTGAAATAGATCTCTGATAGCTATGGTGAGAAATAGTAACACCAGTATTGTTTGAGTCATCAGAAATAGGGTATTGATAATTGTGATCGGAGAAAATATTCATGTCGTCGGAAATAAAATTGTTTTTATCGTCCATAATAACAAAGTTATCATGATAAATATCATCACTAGCTGTCTGTGGTAAATTAAAATATGGATCCATCGACATGATTACTTTGTGGAATATGTGTAGAAAGTATTTTTTTTTTTTAAGATATAACGAGATAATAACTAAAGGTTTTAATAGAAAAAAATGACAAAGTTCAAAATTTTTTTTTTCAGATTTAAAAAAAAAAAAAAAAAAAAATCTCTAATTCATGACCTATTTTATTTCTTTTTACATTCCCAATAAATACAACAAGTAAAATATAAGCACATATTAGGAAACTTTAAGCGAAAAATATATTAATACAATAACGACATTATAGTATTGAATGTGTTGTTCGTCATAAATTACGATCATGCATTTTTTTTTTTTTACAAAATATTTTATCCCTTTTATGATCTACATACAACCGCAAAATATTTGTGTAATAAACAGGGGTTTGCATGATTAAACGTTTGAAATTAGGTAAAATCTAAGTTACTGAAATAACCCAATTTTGGTATATTTAAAGGGGGGAACCTATTAGTAGTAATAATATAAAAAGCATAATTCAATGATTTTTCATTTCCGTCCCGCACGTTTCAAACATAAAGATTGAATTGTTGTTATTAGCACATAATACGTACTACATGACGAAATTTAATAAACTAAAAATGTAAATACAATCAATTTTTTTACGATTTCTAGACGTTTATTTGCAACACTAAGTATTTAGAGTAACTATTTTAAATATGGTATTATCGTCGATGACACATTGACACATATACTGTGTCGATCTTTTCATCCTTAAATGTAAGATGACTTTTTTTAAATTTTAACTTTAAAAAAATAAACTCGACAATGAAATATCAATTCCTTATTAAGAGAAAAAGGGTTCATTGAATAAATAAATAAAACAATAGTTAAACAAGGTTCCACAAGTCTTATGACCAATTGACCATGATATATATTAGAACTAATTCTATATTATTATATATATTCTTTATTCATGTATTAGTTACGTAATTTTGCAAAATCTATTACATTGAATGCGTAATTTATACAATGATTTTTATTCTGTATGATAATGAAAGGAATAAATTTTACAGAAAGGTACGCGAAGTAACATTCATTGCACGACTTTTAAGAAATTTTATTGTATTACACCCTATTATAAAGTAAAGCTACTTCCCAAAATTCTCTTTGAAACTTTTTTGGAGAAAGACGAAACTACAATTAACTAGGGGCGAATTTTTAGTGACTTGTTGGCGTTTCGGCAAAGTCAGAAGACTAATTGACCGCAGCAGTACTATTACATCAATACGACTATTATTAGGGTGGTCTATTTCATATTAGGAAAGATCTTTTTTTTATAAAAAGATACAATCCCAAATATGGTACGTACGTGATACATCATTATCGGCCGATTTACTAACTACTACTCATTTATTAAATGACTTTTGAAAATAAAAATTTCCGGAAATAAACAGGGAATATTTGTTAAAATACATTTTTCGATTTATTTTTATTTCTATCTTATTATCAACCTAATATATCCTTATTACAATTTCGGTAATCTCGGAGTATAAAACATTTATGCAATATAACTGGTTTCAGATACTCGGATAATCGGGATACTATTTACTATTGAATCTACCTAACTTAGTATATATTGAAAGTCATATGAAAAAAAAAAATTGCGGTAGGTAAGTCTGGATCTTTTTCTTTTTTTTTTTATATAAGCAAAGGTTTCATATCAAGAATTTTAAGAAAAAATTTTTTATTTATCTTTATTAAACGCGATAAAGTTTTCGGATTCTTCTCTTTATCGTGTCAATTTACCTGTATTATTCACATTGAAAGTTCCCATATCAAGATATTTTATTTCAAAGATTGCTTGTGCACTTTGGAATGTATGAAATGTATGAGCAAAATTTATTAAATCATACAGAACATAATGTTGGTTGATAAATTCATACTTCTACAACAAAAAAATCCAATCTCCCTGGGCAAGCAATTCGTGTTCATTTATTATTCATCCAATTAATGAAGCTTTTCTTCTAAATAAATGATATGGGAACTTGGACCTCAAGCATATGATAAATAATTATGCCACGATATGCTTGTTGAGAAAAAAATTTAAAGGATATCGAGGATTTGTTTTTAACTAAACGATTCATTCCATTTACTTTTATATCAAAAGGATTTCAACTGGACTTAAATAATGTTCTACCCGCACACATTCGCAATCAATTTCATTCCGTCGAAGATAACGTAATCGCGAAAGGATTCCTTATTCATCCGGACCTGGTGAACTCACTATGGAAACAACTGAAATTTTCTATCATGGGATTTGTAATAACGTTAATGACTTTCATGAAAAAAGCACTTCCATCACCAACTCTCGTATAATCGAAACGGTAACCTTAAATTTTTCAGAGATTTTTTTTGAGTCTGAAAATAAGCTTATCCTTCCGTTGAAGATAACGTAATTGCGGAAGGATTCCTTATTCATCCGGACCCGGTGAACTTATGGAAACTACTGAAATTTTCTATCATGGGACTTGTAATAACGTTAATTCATGAAAAAGCACTTCCACATCAACTCTCGTATAATCGAAACGGTAACCTTAAATTTTTCAGAGATTTTTTTTGAGTCTGAAAATAAGCTTATCCTTCCGTTGAAGATAACGTAATTGCGGAAGGATTCCTTATTCATCCGGACCCGGTGAACTTATGGAAACTACTGAAATTTTCTATCATGGGACTTGTAATAACGTTAATGACTTGTTCATGAAAAGAGCACTTCCATCACCAACTCTCTTAATCGAAACGGTAACCTTAAATTTTTCGGAGAAAATTTTTTTGAGTCTGAAAATAAGCTCAAAGCTGCTGTAAACGAATCATTAAACTTACTTCATAATAAAGATACTATTTTCAAAGCAAATAAATTCCAAAAATCATGCAGCGTGTGCGCCAAATGTTCGGTACACCGTTTAACAAATTCTTAATTAAGGTTATGCGCGTATTTTTATTTACGAATCAAATCACGTGCACTTCAAGTAACTCTGTCATGTTAGCATTTATCCTTTATTATGAATTCAATCACGTTTATATCCATAGGCTTCTGGGTTCTGCGTCACGTTTATATCCATAAGTTTTCAAAAATTTCATTATATCCAATTTTTTCAATTGAAATTCTTTTGATATATCTAGGAGGAAATGGTGTGAACCGTTTATTTAAAATCAAATCTTCAATATCCTTTAATGGTATTTCGACAAGAGCATAACTATTACGTTGTAGGTAAATGCTTTCCCGGGGAAATCGTATCGACATCAAAAGTCGATCAACATATTATGTTCTAATTTTGAGCAATCAAAGAGCATCGAGATTCTCTGAACGAACTATCTTGACATTAACGATTAAGTTTTGACGAACCGATACATCGATAAAATTGAGCTTAGTGTTTATTGTGAGCCTGTGAGGTATATACTATATACGCATGTCTTTTGTTATTTCTTTGCAATAACGAAACAATTTTGACAATTGAAAATAAGAGATAATGAAAGGTTATAAGATATTATCTTAATAAATAAAAAAGAAAAGTAATAATTCGAACGAAATATCAATTGCGGAATTTAAAGGTTCTTTTATAATCTTTTTTCCATAACCGTATTACAAAGAAGAATTAATAAATCCAAATTTATATATGTACTACTGTGCACAGGAAATTTTACTATATATAATAAAAAGTCTAAACTTCCAAAATTCTTTTTATATAAATAATCATCCATCTCAAATGAAGTCTAAAAATAGCTACTTATAAGCGTTTATTAGGATTCATTCACATATATAATATTTTATGATAATAAATATTGTCTTATTATATGCACAAATCACAAAAAAAAAAAAAAAANCTTTGATAAAATTTTTTAGTAATCAATAATTTACGCACCGCATACATATATGATGATAAGAAAAAATTCTTGCCCAGTTTTTTTTTTTTTTTTTTGTTTCAACTGTCCCACGTGTATAAATATTTCATTTTTAAACAAGAACTTTGATAAAATTTTTTAGTAATCAATAATTTACGCACCGCATACATATATGATGATAAGAAAAAATTCTTGCCCAGTAATATTTATTTTTTTTTGTTTCAACTGTCCCACGTGTATAAATATTTCATTTTTAAACAAGAATTTTGATAAAATTTTTTTAATAATAAATAATTTACGCACCGCAGCATACATATAAGTCCGGACATACTTTCTAACATATTTAGCGTCACTATCTTAGTGGTTATTTAAAAATTTCTTATTGTACTAAATATATATCTTTTGTCTTTAACGAGATGATGCTGATGGTATCGACGTCTTGTGAAAGTTGACCAGTACAAACAATTTGGTTTAGATTTTTTTTTTTTTTTTTTTTTTTTTTGTAAAATGGATTATATTATATAATAATTTTTCAATTGCGCGCGGTATTTCATTCATACAAGTTGAGAAACAAATAAATTAATTATTCTAGAAATAATATAAAAAAAAAAATTTTGTTTTTAAAATAAGAAATATATTTAATTAAATTAACCGGAATTGACTAACCTTAACGGAAAATTTCATTTTGAATAAAACGAAATAATGCAACTCCGTGAAAAAGGGTTTCTTTAAACCATTTAAAATCCATATTAAGTTATTTCTAAAAAAAATGAAAATTTTAGTAATTATAGTTAATTTGTGTTAAAAAAAAAGATTTGCGAAGTTATTGTTTCAAAAAACTTCAAATAAGGGTTATTGTGACGATCGTCCCAGATGTCCCATGTGTAATTTATACTGTCATGTGTTATGATTTCATAAAATGCACTCTTATAATGATTACTCATAAACCCATTGTTAAAATAATATCTTTCAATTTTTACTTAAAAAGTGTCAATAATATTCTTCTAGGATGAAATCTGAACTAACTAACTACCAAAGGTAAAACTACATAGTAATGACAGACGGAGAATCACCCTACGTGAAATAATATCAAATAGTAAGACGGTAAGATTCACGGGAACATTATTTTCGACACTAGTTAAATTCTCATCTTAAATTTTGTCGCACTTATATCGCAATTTAACGTTTAATTTTACTTAAAGACTCAAGAAAAGAATTTTCGATTATGAAATTTATGCTTTGATTTAGTAAATCATATCATTGCAATAAATCGTCAAATTGTTTAACTTTCTGTATTATTACTTAATTAGTATTCATTAATAATTTTATATTTTTGATGTTATTTGACACATAAAATATATCGTAATACGTTTTTAAACATCTATTGTTTGATTCGTTGTTTCAACTTAAAATCAATCTTATTTCTGTTTTAATCTTTATTGATTTGTGACCCGATAAATTATATTTTTCATTCATTTTTGTTTATATTATCTTTTTGAGAACAATTGGTTTCGGAGTTTATTTCCGTGTCCTGAGTCGATACTGAGTTCAGAAGAAAACTACCAATTAAAAAACACTTATTTTTTCTTATAAATATCGTCAAAAAATTTAGCTTTTTTTTCTTGAGAATGTTTAGTCATACAAATAAAATTTAATGTATATGTAATTATTTATTTTTTAATAAAAAAAAAAAAAGAAAAAAATTTGCCTTTACCTCGAAATTTAATTATTTGACAATTTTTTTTAAGAGAGAATATGAACATTAATAATCAACATCAGCAGCAACAAAATTCTTGTAATATGCAACCGATGACTATTAGTCAATCCATTCAATCCATTCAAGGTCATCAAGGTCATCAAGCGTCTCAAATTTCTTCATCTATCAACCTTCCTCAACTTCAAAATAATGTTGTTATGGCTAAATACTTATTCTATTATCAGCCATACAATGATTTTCAAGTTTACAATATTACTTGTAAAGAAATTTCATTTGATATGATTTGTTGTCACAACTGTTTAAATCAAAATAATGTTCAACCAAATAATACGCACGTATTTTATTTTCAACATCCAGTCGACAAAAAGATTTATAAGATTGATTGCGAAATAGTTAGATACAATTATATTGTTTGGATGCTGAACAAAATTGATTATAATGTTGAATTAAACTTTAATGGACAACAGCAAGAAACTTTTTCAAAACAACATAAAGAAAATTTGGAATTTCATTTAAAACATTATTTAACTAATTATTTGGCACCTATTAATACCTTTCAACAGCAACCTTTAGATAATTCTCAAGGTTATATTAATATCAACATTTAAGAAAGAATAGAAAGGATCTTCGCCTGGAGCGGAAAATATCATTTAATTGAATCTTTGTGGAACAAAGATTTAAAAATATTAATAATTCATACCTTGTTCTTGTGAGATATGATGTTAAACGGATATATTCACGTATCTAGTATAGAGTTATAGATATTGTATATTTATAATTTTATATTATAAACATTATTTTTTTATATTATTAGAATTTTTTTTATTTTTTTTTCTTTATAAATTTTTAATTTAATAATTACATGTAGTACTAATTTTTTTTTTAATTTTGTTATTTCAGCCGTGTGAAAATATATGTTGACGAAATAATTAAATTTAGCTGTAGATCTAAATAGTTGAGCTAATTATGCCTACCAAAATTCATTTGAGTAATAAAAAAAAGAATCAACTATTAAGCGTAACCAATTATGTAATTAATATAAATAATTTTTAATAATGAGACATTGTTAAGATAAATTGAGCAACAAAAGTATAACATTAAAATTTTTTTTTTTTATGTTGTGAAATGATCTACGTGATATACCGTGATATACAGAACAATGATATCAATTCGGAATATTCCACTTGCTCCTCCGAAAAAAAATTTTTTTTTTTTATATTAACAATTTTTTTAATTTATTCTCTGATATCTTTCAGACAGTAATCGACAGTAATCGTAAATAATTTTTTAATATATTGAATGAATTTTAAAATTTTATCTTGTAACTGCTGATAAAGTTGTTTCTTTTCAGGTACTAGTACCCGATAATGAATTAATCTTTGGTCAAAAAAAAAATTTTTTCTCGATTTTTAAATAGAACAAATGAACAATGTAAATAAATTTTATTGATCCAATGAATTTCCGTAATAAGTAAAGTATGTGCATACTAGAAGATTTATAAAAGCGAAAATTAGAATATTCCATCCCGGATTAGTGATAGTACCCAGATAAAAGAATCCATATCTGGAAATTTTTTGGTAAATTGGATAGTATTCGGATTCAATCCGTCATTTTCGCGGATACTTGACGGGTCACTTTACTCACTTAGTAGATTTGTACCTGGATAAAAAAGCAACCTATCTCGTACAAGATTCGATAATAATTTACTATCATTTATACCGAATACCTGTTAATATAACTGGATATGAAAAACATCGGAGCCGATTATGTTTCACTTTGACGATAAAAACTGCAGATTGCGAATAAACAAATATATATGTATGTTATATTTATATTACATATTTTTTTTTTCATACTATTACTATTATAATAATAGATCTAATTTAAAAATGAGATGTTTGTGTAACAACTTTTAAAATAAACAAAGTTATGCATGAATGACAATCTAGGCGTCAATTGTTTATTTTGAATAACTTATTTTTGAATATACTGTAAATGGTTTTATTGACATTATGTTTCCTTTGAAAAACATTAAAAAACATTATTATTTATGCAAAGTAATACGAGTTGCTTAATATCTGTCTCTTATACACATCTAGATGTGTATAAGAGACAGGCTTAATATTGTATATATGCGAATTTACTTTTTTATTTTAGTATTATACCTTGAAAAGTTAGAATAATCTAAACTTAAATTCTGTGTCATCTTTTTTTTTTTATTTTTAATTTTTTGGGGTAATATATAAATAGTAATATTTCATTAATTGATCATAAAACGCTACATTATTTTCTACATCCTCTTCGCCAATATGATAAGACTCATATAATTATTATTATGCAGCCGAATAGGATCATGATGTTTGATATTTTTTAGATAAATTAATATTTTTGACGCATTACGTCATATAGATTAATTTTCACATGTACTACTATGCTTTTTTAGGTATGATGGTTAAAATATCATCCGTTATCCGGATATCCGTTGGATATTAACATTACGGAAATAAAATTTTAAAACTTTGTCATTATAGATGATTATTGGCTTAATGACTACCTGCTAAATCATTTAAATCTGCGGGTCACTATCTATATGTAGATAGGCTTTGGAATCATGTGATTTAAGTGACGGATATATTTCGTCACCAATTTATTCAAATGCGATAAGTAAATATAAATTTGATATTTCGTTAAAAGAAAGACAAAAATATGGTATGTTGTTTTTTTGTTTTTAAAATTGTCTTTTAAATAAACCAAATATTTTTTTCTTAATTTTAAAACTATTAAGTAATAGTTATTGGGTAGGGGGGTTTGAAATATCACCAAACTGCGAAGCAGTTCGGATTTCCAAAATGTAATTTGTGTATAGCAAGTCTATTGTTATATATAAAATCAAAATAAATTTAATGACTAAAACATTAATTCTACAAAGAATATTTATTCCAAACTTTTTTGCTTCAAACACTTATTTGTAACTTTAATTTATTTATTTAGTGTTCCGAAGGGGTCGAGTCGGGTCGGGTTTTGAGGTTATTCGAACTCGACCCCAACCCGTCAAGTTGTATTTAATATAAAAAATTGAAATTTTTAGTTAAAAATATAATAAAAAAATTCGGGTCGCCGGGTTAAAGTAAAGGTATAACCCGACTCGGCGGGTCGGGTCGTGTTCATGTGGTTACGGGTCATCAAATCATGCGACCCCAACCCGACCCCTAAATACGAGTCGGGTCAATAACCCGGGTTTGACTCGACCCTTGCGGAACACAAAGTCTTTAAATTACAATTTTACTGAAAATTCAAACGGACAACGTCTACTTTCAGTTTGTCTTTTAAACATTTAAAAAAAAATAGTTCGATACTTTATTTATCATTTATTAATAACGATAATAAAGCGTAAAGATTATTGGACTGATCTTGGAAAATTTGATCCTTGTGGGTAGTAAAGAAAGAGATAAGTGATTACATGTTAGATTAGGATTTGTCTTGGTAAGAAATTAACGATGATAGACTTAAAATGGTTGGTAGCACTTATTTATGAAAGTTATAAAAATTATTTCATAATTATCAATATCATAAATACATAAATTCGCATCTTAATATGTTTATAATGCTATGAATCATTGACAAATAACCAGTTACGTCATATATTGGTTCTAGACTTACTAATTAATATATCACACAAAAATTTTTCCTTTAGCCTTAATTTAGGAAGGCTAGTGATTAAACAGTTGACCTTGTACAACCTGCCAAAATAATATGAGTGTCATCATAGATTGGTCATATGCTCATTAGATAGCATAACAATATTTATGAATTTATCAATTATTCACTTTGTAGAACGATAATTTTATTATCTTTCATTGAGTTTTAAAAGCGACAAACAGATCATTACTATATCAAATTACGGACGGATCATTGCCCTATAGACTATTGATGATCATTACCCTATGCCCTATAGTAGGAAGGTTTATTGTTCCTAAATTATTGACGGTCATTACCCTATACTAAGGAGGTTAAAAGACAAAGATTTTATTGTTAATGAAAATCTAAGAATAGTTAGAAAAAAAAAAGCGCTTTAATATTATTGACAATCCTTACCCGATATTAAGAAGATAAAGAAAAATCTCAAAATAGTTAGAAAATAGAAAATTCAGCAAATAAAAAAAAAACGCTTTAGGCAAATAATCATAAATAATAATGCTTGTTGAACTAGAAACAGAAAATAGGCGCATTAGCGTAATATAATTTATTTTCTCTCGAAACGTATATAAAATATACTACATTTTCCTTTTTCGCCTACATTTTTCATAAGATTTTAATGTTTTGTGTATATTCCTTTTCTTTTTTTGATCTATTTTATATCTGCTTAGGCTTATTTTTTTATTGATTCCCGGCTTTCTTTCGTAAAAGATTATAATCACGCACATATTATTATGTTGATGAACATTCAATCATAATTTGAGAATTTATTTAGAAACAATGAATACAAATAACCAAACTTCTCATGGTTATTCTGATTTACCAATATATCAGACTGGAAATAATTTTGCACCTTCACATTTTCTTGATAATAATAACAATGACCAACGCACTTCCATTAACAATGTAGGGATGTCTAATACTTTCATCATTAATACTATAACTCCCACACTTCAAAACGATACATTTGAATTTTACTTTCCTTTACATGATAACGATACACGCATTTATTACATTACATATACCGAATTACATCCATTAGAAATTGCGCAATTCTTGAATAATAGAGTAAATTTATCTTGTATTCCCGATCATCAGTTTCCACAACATTATAATATTCAATCTTTAATTCGACAACAGATTCAGCAACAAGTCCAACAACCCGTTTATCAACAAAATAGTGTTCAACAACAATCTTTTGATACTATTATTCAACCTACGCAACAGTCTCAATTTCCTCAGCAAATTCAATCGCAACAATCTCAATTTCCTCAACAAATTCAATCGCAACAATCTCAATCTCCTCAACAAATTCAATCGCAACGAACTTACCAAGTATATTCAGATAATAATAACGCTTATAATAATTTTTTAAATTCAGTAAACGGAACTATTTCTGATAATATTCAAGATACAAGATTTCAGAATTCTTCCTAAGAATCAGATTTAATTAATGTATTTTAAGGTGAAATAAATGTTTCTTTTATTCTTAATTTTACTTAATTCTTTTTTAATAAGTTTGGCCATTAACTAAGCTGTTAAATTAAGCCAATACTATTATTTTAGATTATAAAATCTTTATTTCTAGGATATGATCCCTTTTAAATATACCGTATTTTGCGGTATATAAGCACCTTTTTTTGCACTTAATGCTGGCCAAGATCCTCATAATTCTGGCCAAAATCGCCATAATTCTTCTATTTTCTGGAGGTGCTTACTAACCGCAAAATATGGTACTTTATATCATTATTAAGTAGTAATTCTTTCCACTTATTTTTCTATGTTCGTTTTATTGTTAGGGATTGGGAAAATTTTTAACTATTTCGAAAATGAACCCAAATGTTAAAGCTATAATTTTTATTTTTACCAAATTTAATTATTTTATCATATTTTATTCATTTATTATTATGTATTTTATCAATTAAAACTGAAATAAATTTTTTTAAAAAAATACGCATTCGGTGTAAATATTGTAGTATACAGTATACGAGGTTGGGAATTCAACATAAAAATTTAAATATACGAGCTTCATTAGTTACTGCAGAGTCTTAAATGTCTTAGATATCCGAACTTTAATCGTGATTTTATTTTTATGCTAATTAATTTAGTATAAATCGTCCTTACGCCGACCTGGAATATTCCACTAATATTTTGTGACTTTTTGTAAATGATTTTAATATTTGGTATGTCATATACGCATTATTCATTTTTTTTGATCAGAAAATTGGAAAGGTAGTTTACACTTTATTATTAACATGCGACCCAATACACTTAACGATTTGATGAGACCTTGCCTTGTGGCTTATATCTTCAATTAAATAGAAAGTGAAAAATATATTTGCATTGTGATGTTGAATTATATTCTTATAATTCGATAAAATAAATTTAGGGCACATTTCTCTCAATGATTTAGTAATTCAATATCAATAAAATGAATATAATAATATTACTCAAGTATTAATTATAATGATGCTTCTCATGACTTTTCCGATAAAATATAACAATATATAAATATAATAATAACTTTCTCGAATTCTCGCATATGTATATAGAAAATTCTTTTGTTGGAACGCCTATGATAATATTACGTGAATATCCCAATATTTTTGCGGAGTAATTCAGGCAAAATTTATAATTCCAACCAGAATTATGACTCGATAAGATGAACATTTCCTTTTTGACGATAGCTATCCATAAAAAATGAAATGTCCTTTTTAAGAGATTGCATAGCAATAATTTCTAAAAAAGGAAAAATTTAACATTATTCTAGTCAGATTGGCTATTCGTTTTTTAATGGATAACGGATAGGAGCTCTAGTAATTTGTTATAAATTGATTGAGACGTAAAATTAGATGTGCAGAATCAATCGGATACGGGAGTTGATTGGAATAGAATGAAAGGTATTGACTCCTTACATGACCGATCAAGTCATTGTTCCATCATTTTTTATGACCCACAATTTAATCTGCGTGATCAATTCAGTTAATGATAATAATTTCGGCCCATATACAGTATATAACAATCTTATGAGGACCTTGCATTAGAAGTGATTTTTAAGAGATGAGTGTGTCTTAATAAAATTAAACCAAAAATTTTTACTAGTTCAATGATTATAAATATATTTATAAAGTATTCAAGAGTCAACAAATATTAATTAATGTTTTATTGATACTGTCCATATTTTATAAATATATATGACAACTAGTTTATATTCAATTAATTGTACAATATAGATACTTTTTATGCTTAATTGATTATGTACAATTTAAATTCAGAAGGGAGATCTCATGACAAATATTATATCAATATTACAAAGTTATATTTATTAAATTTTAGGTTAAAAAAGTATTATTAAATTATGGTTTGATGAAATCAGATAAAGTTTTCGTTCTCGATCGATTTTCCCAGCGTAACCTGAAAAAAAAGTCCCGAAAAATCACTTGACATTTTTCATCATCGGCGTCACCCTTCCTTGTTTCCATTTTTCATAAGTATCTGGGGAACTTGGAAATTTTTTTAGTAACAAAATCCTACTCGTCACGCACTATCCGCCACATGTGCGTCTTTCTCAAATTAGAAGAGAATGAATTACTACTCCAATGATAAAGTAGAAGAACTTTTAAAAAATTTGATTAAACCAAAACATTTATATACGCTCTTAAATTACTTTTTTTCAAAATGAATTTTCACCTCAAGTTCTTCGAGATACTTTGATCGTTTCAGCGGATCCAACACCATTCGACTATTACGCAAACCAAAGTATAGCCGATTCGAGTTACATTTACGTTCATGGGTGGCGGTTTTTGAACAAGTTTGTCTTTCAAAAATGCGTTGAAGTAAAGAGCTTTGAGATAGAATCTATAATTCTTTACCAAAATTTGCTGAAATTCATAGAAAAATAACCAGATTATGCAAGAGAGCATCGATAACAAATACACATCCAATTTCCAATCAACTCCAAATTAGCAAAGATGGTGATGCTATTAAAAAACGAAATTATAATAATGATTACTTGTCAATTTACTTGTGTGACACATTACATTGTTTACGTGATGATGAGACTTGGTTTCAAGAGATTATACGAAGAACTAAAGAATTACTTAAAGTTGCATTAAATATTACGCCAGAAAATTTAATAATAGCAAAATTTACTCTTCCGCTGAGTAATAATCGTTCAATCTTATCATTACTCGCTCAAGTACTTCAAAGTTTAAGTTTTAAATACCCAGTAGCACCCTATTATGTAGACTGGAGAATTATGTTGAGTGGCAAAAAACTTGGAGAAATGGTATTTTTACTTCATGATTTTATTTTTTACTTGGTTATCTATCATTACTATCTTTTGCTACCCAACCTCCTATTATGATCATTTTTTTATTTTTTGACTCTCATTATTTTTCACCTCCTATTACTTCTCATTATTCCATACTTTTCGTCTCCATTATTTCTATTACATCTTTTCATTTTCCATTATCTCTTTTTCTCTCCTGTTTACTTCCCATCATTTCTTTTTGTCTCCCATCGTTCCTTTTCGTCTCCCATCACTCCTCTTCATCTACCATCATGCCCTATTTCTCCTTTTTGTTTCCTATCACTTCTCAATACTCTTTTTTACTCCCTTTCATCTTCTATTACTTTCCATTACTCCATTGTTATTTCATATTTTTATTAGCATCTTTTTCCTTGATTATTGTAATTTACTTATCTTTTTATTTATTGTTATTGTTTCTTTTATTTGTATCACTTCATTAAAAATACAGTGATTTTTTTCTTCAAAATCGTTAATGTGTGACTTAAATTTAATATTTGCAAATAAAATTTCGTTAGATAAGATTATTTTGAATAAATATGTTTGCAAAAATTTTTTTTTAAAATATCTATTGCAATAAAATTTTAAGTTTAGCTGATCAAAAATTAGCCAAGTTAAAAAAATCAGCATCAGCCGATTAATAAATTTACTCTATATATTGTACATCATGTGATTTTGAAAAAAAACCCAGGTTTAGCAATTCCCTTAAATTTTTACTATTTTGCTATTATAATTTATAATAAACCGAAATCTGCCATTTCTTTATACTTAATTTACTCATTATAAATAGAAAACATTATTTGTGTATTCATTTTATTTAAGAAAAAGATAGATTTAAAAAATTTATTTATTTTAACGAAGCTTGTTTATAAACAATTTGTATATTTATAAATTGAAGTCATTTTTTTTTACAATAACTTTCACTTAAAAGATCTTTTAAAAGCATGTCAAGCTCCCCCATGAAAATAAGGATAGTCACTGGTCCTAGAAAACTGTGGTCTTACAGGTCCTTCATCCCAAAAAGATGGACCAGTTTCGACAGTTTCGTGTAGGACCACGTCCTGGGCTAATTCCGGCCAGATACATAGTGTCAGCCTGAATTGCTAAATATATAAATCACGTGATCCCGTATAATGCTGTTCTGGAATTGTGACACAAAGTTTTTGTGTTACACTTGTAATTCTGACCGGAACTATGAGTTCGGCCTGAATTACAGCTGATTTCAAAAAGGTTGGAACACTTAACAAATCTTAAAGAACTCTGAAATATTCAGTAAAGCTTGATATAAAATAAAAATCATATGCTAATTTTGGAGTAATATTCTGAGAATGGTGGTATAATTTATCTTATTTTGAGCTTTGCTGAATGTTTTCAAGTTCTTTAAAATTTGCTTCCTTAACGTTCTGTCATTCAGTGGGGTGTACAATTTTAACGTACAAACTGGCCCGAGTTTAGGAGTTATGCACCTACACATGATAGCGTTAATATTAATTCTGGCCAGTTTGTATGTTAATATCATATACCCTTACTGTACAGACCCCTACACTAAATTACTGGATTTCATGAAATTTACTTAGTAATATATAGTAAAATTGATGATTTTCGGGATGCATAAAGTTTTGAATTTTTAATAAAATTCAACCAGAATTTTTTTTTTTAAAAGCCAATCAATTATAATTATTAAGTATTAAAACAAAAAGAAAAATTTTTAAAATATAAAAAAATTTTCTCATTGCAAAGTATAAGCAATAATTTTTCTATGTTTTTTTCATTTTTACATATAAAATTATCTTGTCCATTACTTTACAAATAAATATTTTTTTGCATTTTAAAAATAGAACATTTCTGATTACATTTTTAAAAATTATAATTAATTGGCTTTCAAATAAAAAAATTTTGGCCAAATTTTATTGTGAACTCATAAAATTTTATGCAGCCCAAAATATTACTAAGCAAATTTCATGAAATCCGGTAATTTAGTGTAGGGGTCTGTACATTAAGAAACCTTAAGACCGAACAGTCCTAGAACTGAGTAGGACCGGTAGGACTGATGATCATCTTTACATGAAAATGACCTCTCTTGTTTATTGAAAATTTCCTTTTTTCTTTTATGCTGATCAATTGCGTA